CTCTCCACATCTTCTATCTCGCTCATATTGCAGCTTTCCTTAACCTCCCTTTTCAATTCACTCACTTTCGCGTGCCCTTTATGGCTCTTCCTACCCACTATCCTTGCAATCTCTTATTTCCCCAATGTCACTGCACCTCCTTTTCCTTCCTTGATAGATTGTTTTCCCTTCCACCTGATATTTTTACCAAAAACCCAAAAAAAGCAACGACCACACTAAACACGCGTCCACCTCGACCGAACTCCCTCTATCCTCCCTATCTATAAATTAAATTTATATATTTTATATATTTATATAAAATTAAATATAATTATAATCATATATTTATATATTTATATATAAATTTAATTTAATAAAATAATAAAATAAAAATAATTAAATTAAAATAATAATAAATTAATGTAATTCTAATATTAAGAAGAGAATAAATATAATATATATATATATATATATATATATATATATATATATATATATATAAAAGAGAGAGAGAAAGAGAGAGAGATAATTAATAAACTTGTTATGTATGTTAATTAAAAAAAAAAAAAAATAAGGAGAAGAAATAGAAAAACTTACCGGAACGTCCAAATCCAACCATAATAGAACAAATCCAAAATATCGATCTTTTCTTCAATCCTAGTCTATCGAATATGGTTGGTAACGTCAAACGTGCAAGGATGTCCGTAAAGGCGGTGATGGATAAACAAAAAGCGACTTCCGCCTTGGTCATTCCTATTGATCGTCAAGTATCTCGAGGAGTCTAGCTAAATTCTAAGTAGTGCCGTAGCGAGGTTAGATGGTCGATTTTGATCATTTATATCAACTACCCTCTAAATTCATTCATCACCATTATTATTACTTTTATTTTATCCTTTTTCTTTTTTTTTCAATATCTTTTAAATATTAATTTGTTTTTTTCTTTCCATTTTATGTTCTCACTTTCCGCGTATCTCGCGCATGAGCACACGTGTGTGTTTGCACTGTAAATTCTTTTTCTTTTCTTTCTTTTATTTATTTAWTTCAAAAATCATCAAACACACGTTAGATTTATTTTAAATAAAATAAAAAAAAAAGATTTTTAACTAAATTTAACGAGATCGATACGGACCACCGATAAATCCTTGCTACGATACGTACTCGTGAATTTCTCTTGCCAGTCGATACTAACCGATGCTCGAGAGGAAAAATGGAGTCATCAGCTTGAAATTTGATTCTGCCACGTAATACAGACTAGTGCCAATAACTACGTTCAGATATATGGTGTCTTTCAATAAATCCAAGTCAAATGTTTTCTTTATTTTATCGAAGAACGTTGTTTTTGTTGTTGTTGTAGTAGATTTTTTATTCTCGTCATCCTCAATTTCGACGATTTTTGAATCGGTCATTTTGGTTTCACTTTTTCTTCTACCATCCCCGTTGTCGTGACTCGTACCATTTGTTATTTTACGCATGGAAGTTGAAGTTTTTTGTAACAAAGCATCCTTCTCCTTAGGTTCAGTTATTTTCTAAATAAATTTTAATTATTTTCATATATATATATATGTAACTTTATAAATCATTTACTTGTTGTTCGTATTTACAAATTTAATTATTTTACGAAATATCGAACATTTATTATTATTATTATTTTTAATCGAAGTAATTAATGATTTTTTATTTTTTTTTAGAAATATATCATGAATTTAGTTTTACGTTACTTTGGATATCGGAGTATCTTTTTTTTTAGTTTCCAGAGATCTCAATAGACATGCACCGACTACTGAATGAAGTGCCCACGCACTTATGATCATCATAGTTCCACGAAATCCGTAAGATTTTAATAATATGTGAACAAGCTGTGAACATAGAAATATAAAATAAAATGATTATACATAACGTGATGATTGATTATTATTATAATGGATTATAAGTTCAGAAACAATTGAAAAAATAAATTATTGTTTTTATGATTCATTTGATATTACAATTATTTATATTAGAAATTAAATAATAATCTATTATTACAAATTATTATACAATACAGGGTGATTCTTGGAACGGAGGCGGGTTATAACTTATTTTTAAGTAACAATAGAAAAAAATCATAAAGGAAAAAGTTATATGGCACAACAAAGGTCAACTTTCTATGACCTTACTTTTTTCGAAAATACATCGATGCACCCGCTAGATGCAGTTGCACTTTTTTTTTAAATGGAACTTTATAATTTTTTTACACTATTCGATTCTTTTTTTAATTCTGCGTTAAAAAGTATTAAGTGAAGGTCATCGAAATGTCAATAGTTTACGAGATATTGATTTGTATATACATGTAATTATACGACACCACATTTATGTGGATTAGTAATTATAATACACGAATCAATTTACTAACCTGCGGTACTAACATCATTGCCAAGGTTGTTCCAGCCATTGAGAAACCAACCGCTTGTCCACGTTTCTTGTCGAAGAAAGTGTTCAAGGCTACGAACGCGGATGCAATTGCTATTCCTGTACCAAAGCCTATACGTAAACCGATAAATTGCTATTATAAATAATATTTTTTTTTATTCTACAATTTCAAATCTAACAATAAACAGGTTTGATTTAACTTTTTCTAATGAGTTAACAAATGATTGAAATTAATACAATTAAAATAATAATAATTCACCTCCTAAAATGCTATAAGTACAAATCAAATAAGGCATGCTGTCTGCTCTGGATGTCAACATAAGACCTGTACAACTTAAAAGTGAACCAAAAAATGCAACCTTTCTGTAAGAATATTTTTTCAACAATGGTCCAACAAATAGACCTGTAAAAATAAAAAGTTCATTTTGTTTTACGATTTTTAGATCATCAAATCGAAGATTAGATCATCAATTGGATTTCAGTTCAATTTAATTTAAATATGAAAATAATCAACTGTTATAAGAAAATTGTAAAAAAAAAAAAAAAAACAGAAAAAAACAATTAATTAACAATTACCTGAAAAATTAACAATAGCGTCAAGTACGCTCATTATCACTGAAGTTCCTGTAGATTCAATATTGAGTTCTTCTAAAAGATCTTGGAAGAGTAGACCAAAAGATGGATCCAGAGATCTCAACGAAAGCTAATTGTATATAATTAAATTAACACTTATTTTATGAATGACATTGAAAATTTAATATTGTTTGTTTTTTTACGAATCACTATGTATAACATTAAAATAATTATTATTTCCTAATAAGATTTATTTTTCTTAATGTTTCACAATTAATAAAATAAAAAATAAAATAAGAAAATAAAATAAGAAAAAATGTTACAATAATTACTGTTTAGATATAATATCATTTAATTTTTATATTAAAAAAAATATCGATATAATTTTTATCGTAACTTTGACATCGATATCTAAAATATATATAATAACAAAGATATGACGTAGGTTCGCATGTAAAGTGATAGATAAAGAACCGACAAAAATGTGCATACATATATATTTATATATTATATATGTAATTAAATTATATTATATAATTAAAAAAAATTATTAATAATATTATAATAATAAAATTATTAAAATTAATTAAAATTAAAAGAATTAATAAAAAGATAATAAAATTATATATAAATAATAATAATTTATATTATATATTATTATAAATATATATGTGTGTTAACAAAAATAGAAAATTTCAATCTTTTAAAAAAGTTATGAAATCCATAAATTAAGTAATTGTCTTTCAAACTTCATGTTTGAAGTAATAATAATAATATTTTATAATAATGTTGCTTTTTACAAGACTTAAAATAATGTAACGATACGAATTAAATTTATCCATAACAACAACAAAACTTTAATTAAACTTACTACTTAATAACAGAACACTAATCGTACTATTTAAATAAATAATCACAATATTAATAAAGATGAAATATGTAAAATAACAAAATATTTTAACTTACCGATATTAAACTACTGCCTAAACAAACGAACCACCCCCAACCACCATCTGGTGCTTTCTTCTTCGTTTCATCTCGTGATATGTTCTTCATTTTTATAAATTACCAGAAGAAGAAATCACTGAATTTCTTGTCTCTGTGTGTGTGTGTGTGCGTGTGTGCAGAAGTCTTCCTTCAAACTTTGACTACGATTTAAACTGATTTGAATTTGAATGTTCACGTGTTATACACAATTTTAAATAAGACTTACTTAGGTATTAATGGTAGAATGATTTCTGCTTTTGATCACATGATCGAATGAAAACCATCGTCATTTACTAATGATAACTATCACTTTATTCAACGATCACTGATTAATAGATATACCTAATCTATTTTTTCTCACTTCTTTTATCGATATATACTTATTTTTTTTTAAATACGATTAATATAATATCAATGTAAATCACAATTTCGTACGTTGGTTCGCTCGTGAAGCCAAACGTCCATTTGTTCGTTCACACTTTTGCACACTGATTCATTCGAGACTTATCGTTCATTTTTTTTTTAATTTTTTTATCTATATATTCCACAATATATTTATCACATAATGGCAAAGATAATTCGTTAAAAAGATTAACTCTCGCGTTTAATAATAATTTTTTCACACAATCCGTAAATTATTAAAAATATTAACAATGTTATTTGTTAAATCGATAATCGAAAAAAGTATGTTCCAACTATTATGATAATCACTATATTTTTAATTTATTATATTAGACAATTTTTATTATTGTTTTTTTTTAAAAGATCAATCAAGTTATTTAAAAAAAAAAAAGAGAATTACTATTGTGTTGCAATAAATAACACTTTTATACAAAAAAAAAATGAATATACTTTTGTTATCAATGTATGAATTATAATATATATGTATAATTATTATATTTTTCATTCACTGTAATCAAAACACAAAACGATTGATATCTTGTTATTATAGTTCGTATCAATTTTCAATGATTAAAATATTTTATCGTATTTGATATAATATATCGATATAAGTTACACCAATGCACTCTCGTATGTTTCAACATTATGTCAAATATTTAAAAGATATACGAAAAAAATACAAAGAAAAATTAAAAATTAATGTTTATGATTTATGTATTTTTTTTTTTTTGCAATAAGTAGCACGATTAATATCTACTGCATGAACTAAATGAATTTCACTTGATTGCACAGTTTTTAACTAGAAGAAGAACTTGATAACACTTACCCGTGTGTTCTGTTACGACTATTTCTAATGTGATTGTGCTAGCCACTACTACTGGATGACCTTCTTGTCTCAACGTTTCATAAACTACGTGCAAACGTCGCTAAAGGAGGAAGGAAGGAAGGCTAACAATAATGAACGGAACGAAGAACAAAAAAAAAATATATATATATATATACACGTGATCAACGAGAATCAGCATGAGTTTGTTAATCATCGATGCTATCACTTCACGGTTTGTTACATTTTTCTCCTAATTTTTATTCATTTATCTTGTGAACATTTATTTGTATTCGTTAAACGTATGATTATCTTTTGCATAAATTTTGTAATCGCCTGAATAATAATTAATAACATTTATGTTATCTGTGCATAAGTTTATCAATCGAATAAGATTAAATGATTGACATAGTTGGAACAATGTAATTAAACATTAATTTTATTTAATATGTATAAATGATAATAATCAAATTTTTGTATTTTGTAATTACATTAAATATATATTATATGTTATAAATTATATTATATATTTTTTTATATTTTATATTATATCTAATATGTGGGTATATATTAAATATATATCAAATAAATATGTATTATATAAATAATATATAAAATAAAAATAATATTATATATTAATAAATTTAATATTTAAAATAATATATTAAATAAATATATATTATATAAATATACGTATTAAATATAAATATTATATTTAATATATTTATTCTATTATATAATTATTTATTATTATATTATTATTTTCAAAATTATTAAATACTAATAATAATTAAATTAAAATAATAATAATTAAATATATGTATTAATAAAATATACACATTAATATTGTATATTATATATTATAATTACTAGATGTAAATTTTCCAAAAGCTTATCTTTCTCTATTTATTATTGCAAAACGTTATAAATAATTGACAAAATTGGTAAAAAATATATCAAAGTTTTATTGTACTCTATTTTTATTCTTTTCATTTACTCATTCGTATTTTTTGTTTCATTATTGTTATTATTATTATTATTATTATTATTATTATTATTATTATTATTATTATTATTATTATTATTATNATTATTGTTATTATTATTATTATTATTATTATTATTATTATTATTATTATTATTATTATTATTATTATTATTATAATCATCGTATTATTTTTTATTTTATGCAACTAAAATATTTTATCTCTGAAGGTGAAATTTATTTTCAGACAAAGTAAAAAGACTTCCGAATGGGTGGTGGGAGTGAGGAGAGAAGAGTGGGGGAAAGTCGAATAAAATAATTGGATAAATGTGCGACCGAAAAACTCGTTTGCTACACCTACCAGAAACTCTAATAAGGGAAAGGCGGTTTTATGAGGTTGTGTATAAGATACGTAAAGGAATAAAATATAACTCGTATATATACACACACAATTATAATATATTTGGTCGAATAAGAGTATTAAGATATTACGCCAAGAATGTGTATGTATGTGGGTACATATGTATCGTACAAGTCAAATAGAGAGATATGTATGTACATATAAATACATAAGTTGAATAATTCGTTACGGTTTACGAATTCTTTTGAATTTATTTAACATACAAATCTAAATAATTCCTGTCTCCTTCCTTTTTTTATTATTTTTTTTTATCTGTGTCTCTACGTATGTATTTGTTTAATGTATATTTTTATAAGTGTGTAAGAGTATATATATATATATATATTTTTTTTTTCGTTTTAAATAATTTCTTGGTTTTTATATAGATATACGTACTATTGAATAATAACAGATACATTTTTGAAAACATTTGATCAACATTTTTTTTGTAATTCCTTTGCAGGAATGATGATACCTAACATAATAAATGATATTACAGAGTATAATAAGAAATACGATATTATTCCGTAGCATCGGACTTTAATAGTGGAAATGTACTATGTTTTGTCACAACCAATAATCTCAAATAGAATATGAGTCAACCACAGGACTCATTTGTCTGGCATGATAGTTTATATTTTCTTTTATTTTTATACGACACTTTACCTATTTTTCATTAACATCTCGGATGATTTTTAAAATCGTCCAATAAATTGATACATTTAAAATATTTACCATACGCTTTTTATTATTTTTTATTTATATATATTTAATTAAATGTTTATGAAATTAGTAGCAAAATAAATAAAATTACATTTCTGTCTTTTTAATACTATTATAAGTTTTGTGTTCACGTGTTGTAATTTTTAATTTCAGTAGGCTCATAATTTTCCAGCTCATATTTTCAATTTTTATTTTTTTGAATTATACTACAATAAAATTTACTTTTCTATATAACATGGAAATAATTGGTATAAGGGAATGCATGTGAAATTTTTCCCTATGTTTCCTCAAAAAAAGTTGAGTATTAGTTCTTACTGTTTGTACAGAAAAGAATATATTTTTGATTCCAATAAAGATGTTTTGTCAATTTCTTCTTGTAAGATTGCCCCAAGGAGTATGCAACCACTACGCATCGTTAACATGGAAGTATTGGAGGAAAATAGAAGCATTCATAAGGGGCAACCGCAGTAAACAATCTGTCAGTAATGAACTAATCGATTCAATGATGATTTTTACATGTTTTTATATTAAATTATGCTTTATATAATTATATAATATTTATTTAAACAATGTTTAATAAAATAAAGATTTAAATTATGTGAAATTTAATACTACATGTTGAATATTTAAAATTAAATTAAATATGTTTTATTTTAACATTTCAATTTTTCTAAACTAAATTTTTAACAATTATAATATATTATTATTTAATTATTTATTAACGTATATATCATTTATATTTATATATCGAATAGAGTATTTAAAGATTTAATTTAAAAAGTTTTTTTTTCGACTTTCAGTAATATTATTATACGTAATCAAATCGTTATTCAAAACAATAACAATAATACCAAATATCAAATTACGTAAAGTAAATTATTATCTTAAGATAATCAAGAGATATATTCGAACTTTATAAATAATTAACATATTTTGGATACTTATTATTTAAATATTATTTTAATTTAGATATTTATTATTTAAAAAGTGTCTTTAAACAAATTCCGTATTACGTTTAAGTATTATTAAATTGTGTAATATTTTTTTAATTATTTATACTATTTAGTAATTGTCATTTTATCTCAAGATTGTTTAATGTGCAATAGTATGAATTATATGGATACTTAAATCATTTTACACATGTACATTATTTATATTTTATAAGAAACAAAATAAAAGATACAAAGAGAGAGAGAGAGAGAGAGAGAGAGAGAGAGAGAGAGAGAGAGATAAACAATTTATTCGGCATAAAGTCGGTTAGAAATTTACCATTTAAAATGATTTTCGTATTTGTTCGTTTATTCTCATAAGATTAGATGATCATAAGCAATATTTCATAATAATGATGGGTATTTAATGCGTTGACGTCGAGTACACAGATAACAGAATTTGAAAAATCGTTTTGCTACTTGTCTCTTTCAGTCGAAATCTGTCTTTCTTACTTCACGCGAAACTGTTCTTGTTAATCGACAATATTTATTTTAAATGAGATATCAATTGTGAGTGTTAATTTCAAAAAAAAAAATAAAAAAATAAAAAAAGAAATAAAGAAAATAATAAAATACAAATAATTGTTAAATTTTGAAACGAAATGTTATTATAGATTTATAATTTTAAATGTTATAAAGTTTCATCGCGGCCAAGAAGAAATTGTAAGAAGAATTTTTGTATAACTATTGAGAAAAAGTTGTATATAATAATAAATAAAAACAGAAATGGCTGAGGTTACGTATAATGAAAGTGCTGAAAAGTCCAAAGAAGAAGAAGAATTAATACATAATGATAAAATTAATGATAGATTGGATAAAAATATTCAAATGGAATATGAAGCACCGGAAGGTGGTTGGGGATGGATCGTGACTTCAGCGATGGTCGTCATTTTTGTATGTTTATAATTCAAATCATTCTATATTTTTTACTTAATTCGAAAACAATTTTTACAAAATTTCGAATTTTTTAAATATAATTTATTATTAAACATAAGATATATAATATATAATTTTATATAATTTTACACAAACCGTAATTTATTATTAAACTCTCAGATTTTTATTAATTTTTTTTTTAAATATTATAATAATAATATATAAAATACTATATCATAAAATACTATAATAATAATTTTTCGAAATACGATTTTATTGAGTGATTTATTTATTTATTTTTTTTTAGAACAATTACGTAACTTAATAAATTATATTAATTAATTAATTAATTATTTTATATAAATCAAAATGTATAATATTAATCAAAGTAATTTATATATATTTCGTTATAATATAACGTATAATTATTTTCAAACCTTATTATTATTATTATTATTATTTCAAAATGAATTTGAATTTTCTAAAAATCCTAAAAATTATTTTTGTAGATTACGGTTATAGGACCAGCCCCATCGATTGGATTAGTTTTTGGTGATTTTCTTGAGCCTACCGGTAAAGCTGGACTTTTATTGACACTTTTTGGTGCATTTTTCAGCGTTACTTTCTCAGTCTCTAGTAAGTTTAAAATCTGACATGTAATTACATATATATATATATATATATATACTTTCTTTTTATACGAATACGAATTACAACATCACAAAATTAATTATAATTACGTAAAAAAGATACATTCGAATTTTATGAAACGCTATGAACACATTTCGATATTTCAAAGAGAAATCACTTAAATTCAACTTGATATAATAATAATGAATAAACATATCATGAATATTTATTTTTCATATTTCAAATTGCATATATAATTATTAACAAGAAAAGTATTATCATTATCATTGAATAAAAATGAAAACAACGATATTTTATGAATTACAAATGTTTTGTACGTATGAATTGTATTCATTGGATTCTTACTGTATATTTATTGATAAAAATGAAACGACAACATTTTATGAATTAAAAATGTTTTATACGTATGAATTGTATTCATTGGATTCTTACTGTATATTTATTGATAAAAATGAAACGACGACATTTTATAAATTGAAAATATTTTGAACGAATGTATCTATCTATGGGATTCTTACTGTTGATAGAATTGTATTACGATTTTCATTAGGCGCCAAGATTAGAAATAGTTAAATAGAAGAGGTCGAGATACGAAGAATATTTGCATACAAACAGAATACTATTCTAACGTGTCGTAAGATATATATATATATATATGTAAGATGCTATTTCTAAATAAGTATACATATCATACTTCCATTACAGTGATGTGTACACTGTAGTACACTTGATCCTTGTTCTACATTGTTCATTAAAAAAAGATTGTCATTGTTGAAAGATGATAATCGATCTCGTTGACGTATTTATGTGTTGTTGTCTCAAATATACAGATAGAATAAAAATAAAAAAAGAAAGAAGTTTTTCAGAAAGATTTAAGTTTTTATGATAGCTTAAGATAAGTTGTACGAAGTATTTTTTTTTCTTTTTTTTTTTTCTCGTAACAGCAAACAACGAATTGAATTTTTGTATTACGTACGCATATATTACTTTGAAAAATTCTTCTATGTGAATTAAAATTATTTATAGAGTTTAATGGAGAAGGCAAGCAGGTAGGCAGGCAGGCAATGAAACAATTCAAATGATAAAATGATATCGGATAATCGAAAATGCCATTTATACTTGCATACGTCGTCAATTTACACGAGGATTAAAATGTAGACCGTGGTAAAAAGAGGAAAACACAATGATGATAAGAATATGATGATGTACCATAACGAGTAGCAGTAAAAGATTGTAAAATAATTCAAGAACAGACAATTTTACCGATTTTTAATTAATAACATTTTAAATTACAAAATTTGTATCTGCAAGAACGTTAAACAAAGTTTATTTAAACAATTGTATATTCGTATATTATTATATAATTATTTATTGGATATATCAGGAAAAAATGACAAATTAATGACATTAATTTGAACTCGTATATGTGTATATGTATTTATGTAATTGTAAATTTTGATTTATGTTATTTTTTAGGTCCACTGGCAAATTATTGGATGCAGAAATATACGTTGAGATCGGTGGCAGTAATGGGTGCAATATTGTTTTCCTCGTCAAATATTTTATTTGCACTTGCAACAGATATTTGGCAAATGATGTTTTTATATTTGATACAAGGAATAGGAGTAGGATTTCTTCTTACGCTAAGTAACACCAATTTCAATGCATATTTCGTGGAAAAACGTGCTCGAGTAAGTGAAAACGAAACATTCGAAATTCCAATCTTAACGATGTATATATATATGTTAATATGTGTTTATATGTAATATGTTAATATATATATACTTTCATTATTTTATTTTGAGAGAGAAGGAAATCGTAAAGCAAAAAAATTCAATCGAAAATAATTTGATGTCTCAGATAATGAGCCTGGCCCAAGTGATCATCGGTATGGGTTCCATTGGTTATCCCTATGTCATCGACAAAATTATGCCACTGTACGGTTTTCGAGGTAATTTATTTAATCCAATTACGCGTATAAAGAAAGTATACTATTATACATATATATATATATATATATATATATATATTATATATTCGACGATTTTTTATTAGGTAGGAAGGTAGGTAGGTAAAGGTACTAACAGCAGCAGCAGTTCTAGCTAGCTAGCAAGCAAGCTGGTTGGTTGGTTGCTTGGTGGCTGTTCGNATATATATATATATATATATATATATATTATATATTCGACGATTTTTTATTAGGTAGGAAGGTAGGTAGGTAATGTATTTAAAAAGAAAATAAAAAAGAAAGGATTTGTTATATAAACAAGAAAAAGATGTATGTAATTACGTTTAATTATATTGTATAAAAAAAAAATAAAAGAAAAGTAATATGAAAATTATCGATAAAGTAATGAAGCAATAATGTAATACATATATATATATATATGTATACTAAGATGAACAGGTCACTCGTTGTTGTGGTTTTATTATAAAATGTAGATTTAATATAACTTTAAATTTCTTAAATAATTCTAGTTAATAAAAATAGAATAATAATATATTTATATAATATAATTATTAATTTACTAAATACTATAATTACTCTATAATATAATTTACTACATAAAATTATTTAATAAATTTATTTAAAGGTTATTTAGGTATAACTACTACTATAACTACTACTATAAAATAAATTTATTAAATAATTCTATTTAGTAAATTATAACACACACAAAATAATACCCACATAAATAATACCATATTATTTCAATGTAACACAGGAAAAAATATAAAAAGCAAGGTTAGGAAATAATTGAATTGTAATACAACACCATCTATTGAAAACTTACAGTACTTAAAGACTTAGATAACCTCTAAACAATAATAAATCCTTAAATTAGCAATAAAAAATACAAAATAATCGCGATAAAAACTATACTGTATACTAAGTTGAACAAAATCACACAAAATAATAAAAATTTCATTAAATTCAGTAGTAATTAATTTCAGTAATTTTGAAGTTGATTAGAAACCGACAATATGACACTAAATTTTAATATATAAAGATATAAATAAAGTATTAATTTTTAATATTTACAACTAGTAAAAAAAAAAATGCAAAGTTTTCTTTGTTTCATAGTAAAATATTTGTTTGTATTATTTTTAGGAACTGTTGGTATAATAGGTGCGGTAAGTTTACATTGCATTCCCGCTGTGCTTCTGTTGCAACCGGTTGAATGGCATATCAAAGATAAAAAAAAGGTTCTTACGAAAAGTGATGTGAAAAACAGGAAACAAAGTTCAATCACAAATGACCATCATCAAGATTCAACAGGACAATCGATTAGTTTACGTAGTTTACGACATAATCCAAAGGTTACTTTTTTTTATGCTAATCCTTGCACAGTTTTCTTTTTTATTTGTCTTCAGAATGAAAGTTGATTGAGTATGATCGAATAATAAAATGTATTTCAGACTGAACTAACAGATGAAAGTGAAAATACCAATGAAAATGAAGAATATCGGGTTAGATCATGGTCATGGTCAGTTCGAGACGTTTTAAACAGAAGATTGCACGTATTTTCTTCATCAAGTGTTACAAATTTGGCAAGTGGTATTGGTGCATTAGCAGATATCAAAAGTAATTCTGTTGTATTAGTTGACAAAAATGTAGATGATAATCAAGATACTAATCGAGATAAATACAAGTAAGTTGTATAACAAATATTATAAATTTTGTTTCATTGTTTAAATGTTTTATTATATATATATGTTTACTAATTTTAATTTTATTTATTATATATATTATATAAAATTAATAAATATATATTAATTATTATATTATATTATAATTAATATATAATACATATATATTTAATAATTTTAATTTTTTATTTAAATTAATATAATACTATAATTTAATATATTATTTATTGAATTTTAATTTATTAATATATTATTATAATAAAATAATATAATTATAAATATTAAATTATATATATAATATTCCACTCTCTTATTAATTTTTATTTTATTTATTATAATATATATATATATTTAATAATTTAAAATTTTATTTTTTATAGATCGTTTTGTAAGAAATTTAACAAAATTATGGATCTTTCTATGATGAAAGATTTATATTTTTTGAATTTATGTTTCGGTGTCAGTATTGCTATAACCTGCGATTATACGTTCGTTTCACTATTACCAATTATGATGTTTCATGATGGATATACCAGAAGTGAATCTGCTTTGGCTATTATAGTTAGTGGTGTAGCAGAATTATTTGCTAGAATATTAATAGCCATTTTTAATTTTTTCGTCAAAGTCAAATCTAAATATTTGTTCTTCGTTGCAATGATTGCTATGTCCTTTGCTAAAGCAGGTAAAATACTTTTCTTCCTGTTTTTTTTCTTTTCTTTGAATAACAAAAGAAATTAAATCAGAGTTTATACAAAATTTGTCTTTTTTTATAGGATTTATGATGTTAGAGGATTCATTAATGGCTGTATTAGTGATGAATGCTTTGATCGGTATGATACGTGCTTTAATGTTGGTACCACAAACCTTAGTTATTATAGAATCCGTACAAATAGACAAATTAGCATCTGCTATTGGATGTTTTGGATTTATTATGGGTGCCACTTCCTTAATTTTATCACCCGTTCTTGGTACGTCGTTTAAATAAATATAATAAAAATATTTCAAATATATATAATATAATTTATTATATTAATTATTTATTATATTTAATACATTTATTATATTAATAATTTATTATATTAATAATAAAATAATTTTTATTAAAAGAATTTTATTAAAAATATATAATTAAATTTTAATATATATAATAAAAAATATAATTTATTATATTTATAATATAAATAATTTTTATTACAAAAATTTTATTATAAATATAGAATTAAATTTTAATATATATAATGACAAATATAATTTATTATATTTATATATAATATAAATATTTGTAATATAATAATTGTTATTGTAATTTTAATAATATTATAATATTATTACAATATTTATAATAATTTTATATTTTAATATATGCATGTATATTATTTATTATAGGAAATATCAGGGATTGGACAGAAAGTAATAAAATATTTCAATACATTACGTTAGGTGTACATGCAGTATGCATTTTTCCATGGATATTGCAATTCTTTTTTGTTGATTTTAAAGAATGGAAGAAAAAACGATGTAACATTAATTTATCTAATTGTTCAAATTTAACGTAAATGGAGAGAGACGGTGAAAGACCATTAATTAAAATAAGTATTAATTACTAATATATTATATTATATTACCATAATATAATATAAAAGATATATATATATTTAGAATTATTAGATTAAGATATTGTTGCTCGCGTTAAAAAAAAAAAAAATGTGACGTTTAAATGAATATCACCAATTTGTTATATATATATATATATGTTTATACATATAYATATATATATATATATAWMAYAYAYWWTAYAYATAYAYATATATATATATATATATATATATATATATATATATGTTTTAAAATAATTTTATCGGATCAGATGAAGATGAACGAATGAAGAACAAGTACTTATTATTATTATTATTATTTTTATTGTTATTTTTTTGTTTTTATATTAATATATTATTACCATTATATTTTTTTTTTATATACGTTAACTTATGTTATAGCTAAAGACTAAATTATAATATAATATTAATATATATGTGTATTAATATATTATATGTATACTATTATATATATTATATGTATAATAGTACACATATAAATATGTATATATATATTTATATAAACTTAATTAAAATTTATCTGATATGATTTTACTGTGAAATACCATAATTATTTATGAAAAAAATAAAAAAAATTTTTTCTTAATAACTGATCTTAAGCTGGAATTTCTGAAGAAATATTTTGTCGTGGTTCGATTCTAATGTTAAAACCATCGGATCTTTTCAAGATAATATCAACTTGTAGTTTAAATTGCGTATAAGGTATATCAGCCATTATTTTATAGTTTCTCAATATTGTTGATATAAGTACTTTTAATTTTAACAATGCAAATTTACGTCCCACGCAAGATCTTGAAAAAAAAAAACACACACACACACACAAACAAAATTAATTAATGTAATTATTGTTTTAAAAAATTTCATTTAAAATTATTAAGTAAAAAAAAAGAATTTTATTATTAAAACATTGTTAACGGAAAACGTGAGTTGTTATTGAAGTTGAATGGCTTTAAAAGGGGCTCATACTGATAGTACTTTTTTTTTGTAGGTGGACGTGTAAAGGACATATGAAGGTCATTAATGTTTTTTTAAACGGAATCATATATTTTTTATTGCATCATATGATGCTCTTTTATATTATTTAAAAACAAGTATTAACCTATTTATGTAAAAAAAATTATTACTTTAGGAGATATTTTAATTTGTATGTCTATTTACAAAAAAGGTTCAATGTGGCGACCATTTGCATCAGAACACTTTCTGAAACGAGAAATTAATGACTCATTAACGTTTCTTAATGTATCTGATGTTATTTTTTTGCACTCATTGACGATACGATCCTTCATATCAGCCATTGTAGTCGGAGACTCAGTGTAAACTTTATTTTTTAAGTAGCCCCATAAGAAAAAGTCGAGGGGCGTTAGATCTGGTGATCTAACCGGAAAATGAATGGGCCTACCCAGTCCTATCCAACGATTTGGGAACATTTGATTTAATGTATCCCTTGCTATTCTTGAATAATGAGCAGGGCATCCATCCTGCTGTATCCACATTATTTGTCGTCTATGCAATAGTAAATAATCTAAAAATTTCCATAGAGTGTTTGATAAAAAATTTGCATATTTTGGTCCGGTTAGTGATCCTTTGATAAAGTATGGACCAATAAATTTATCGCTGAGTATGCTCATCCAAACATTTACACTCCATCGATGTTGATTATCCATTTGTCTAAACCAATGAGGATTTTCCGCTGACCAATAATGGGAATTTCTTAAATTCATTGATTCATTTTTAGAAAACATTGCTTTTTCCGTGAACATAACATTGCTAAAAAAGTTGTCTCTTTGAGTGAGAGCCAAATTACAAAATTCTAAACGTTGATAACAGTCATTTGCGGTCAGTTCTTGAGCCTTTGATACATTATATGAATGGTATTTGTGCTTTGTAAATAGACATGAAAATTAAAATATCTCCTAAAGTAATAATTTTTTTACATAAATAGGTTAATACTTTTTTGTAAATAATATAAAAGAGCATCATATGATGCAATAAAAAATATATGATTCCGTTTAAAAAAACATTAATGACCTCCATATGTCCTTTAAACGTCCACCTACAAAAAAAAAGTACTATCAATATGAGCCCCTTTTAAAGTCATTCAACTCCATGTGAAACATTGTCTGCTACGCGTAATAATAATAACGTAAATCTAGATGGTAAAATGTGGTGATCCACCCTGTATAATTATTAGTAAGATATTGTTAACCAAAAATGCGAATCAGCGTTGTTTTTTTTATATTTTTCCAATTGTTGAAAAGCATTAATTTGCGAAATGCATGACCAAATGTATTTCATATTGTATTATGTAAAAAAAAAGACGAAAATTATAATTGGATAAAATAAAAGAGTAATGAAAATATTTAAAATATGTTCATTTGAATGTTAATAATTAATTATAAAATAATAATAAACATTATATAGTATTTTTGTATCTGTCTTTTTTTTTTTTCTTAAATCATTTATCAATTGATCTAAAATATATTTAACCCTTTGACTGCTAAAGGCGTATATATACGCTCTCACAAATCCATCAATATACTCGAAAGGCGTAAATATACACTCTCTGTATTTTTTTACTATAACACCTTTATATTGCTGTTTTACCGATTAATTTAACATGGAATTTATTGTGATATGTAACATAGCAACTAAATTACTTAAAAAAAACTTTTTTAAAATTCATATTTTTATTTTATTTGCCATTATTATCTGTTTTGGTCAGTAGTCAATAGAAAAACAGTCGCAGCGACTGACATGCGAAAATCGTGCCGTTCATATTAATGGATTGGTTCGAGAACGCGCCGCAGTCAAAGGGTTATTAAAGTTTGAAATTATGTATTAAATGATTTATAATAATAAATAAAATTTAAATCATTTGTTAAATGATTTGAGATATTTAAAAAAAAAAATATATTTTCATTTATCATAATAACCGTCATCAATGCGTTAATAAATTATTATTTAATTTTAATGATTTACCTTGGACCTGCGCTGAAAGGAATATAAGAATAATAATGTCTCTGTTGCATTTTCTCTGGCAAAAAATTGTCCGGATTGAATTCCTCAGGATTTGGATAATATTCCGGCAAACGATGAATTTTGTATTGAGGTATTATTACTCTACATTTCGCTGGCAAAATTTTCTTATTGCTGACTGAAAATATAATATTCGATCAAAAATTTTTATATATAAATAAATAAATAAACGAAAATATTAATGTAATAATTTAGTCGAATTACGATTAACTAAAAACGAAATATATGGTCACAGATAGAATTCAGAATGTGCTTAACACTTTGTTGACCGGCTATTTTTTTAAGAATTTATCCCATGTCACCAGCTATTACTTCGTCATTGAATTGAAGAGTAAAACAATATAAGTAATATTTAATAAATTTTACTTATTATTATATTTTAAATAGCGTGTTGTGAATAAAAAGCGCATCAGGAGTTAACTCGTGACTGGTCAGCAACGTTCGGCCACAGAAACACGAGATAACTCGGGACCGGTCAACAAAATGTTAATACTAAAACTTAGGTTGTGTGGGATCAAATTTTGGAACGGATCAGCAACTTTAGGTATTTAGGTTCGATCATAAACCAGACGAACAAAATAAACGAAGAATTTAAGAAAATAATCAATTTAAGCAATGTCAATAAATTACTCAACTCGTTGTTGCTATCAAATTCAGGATATACAGGACTATCATCCTACCTGTCCTCCTTTATAGTAGCGAAACGTGGTCACTTACGTTACAGGACGAAAAGAAATTGAGGATTTTCGAAAATAAAGTTGTTCGTAAAATGTTCGGTGCAAAACGCGATGAGGAAACGGGCGAATGGAGAAAACCCCGATAACGTAGAAGTACACCGACTGTACAACAAAACCGGACATCATTAAGGTCGTAAAATCACCCCGATTAAGATGGGCAGGTGACGTGGCGTGCATAGGGGTGGATCGAATGGCACATAAAATACTGATTGGTATACCAACGGGAAAAGACCATTGGGTAGACCGAGAAGTTGATGGGAGGACAATATTATTTCGAGATCTTAAATAAATAGGCTACGAAGACCGCGAATGGACGTGGTCAAGCTCAGGGACGAGAACACAGGCCGGAATTTGGTATTTGCTGCAATGAACTTTCGAGTTCCTAATGAAAATTAATATTAATAATAATAATAATTATACGATTACCTAATTGTATATCTTCGTTAAGAGTTCTTGCTATTGCTGGAACTGGTGGGAAAAGTCTCAAGGTTTCTAAAATGACTCTTTCGAAATATTTCATTTCCAATGTATCTTGGAATGTGCATGGTCTATCTGAACCATTGAATATCGTATTTAATTCTTCCATAACACGTTCCTGAAAAATAAATTAAAATATTAGTCATTCGAGTAAAAAAAAAAAATCTAACTAAATCAATGAATAATTATACAGTTAATCAAATTACATGAAAATTTATCTAAACAACGAAATGTGTAAAAAAGTTAATACATCTATGGGAATATCGAAACTCGTGCGATAGTCATTTTGAATTAAAATTCTATTTGTAGCATACTTCTGTATATACTTTCATTAATATAACCTGTATATTTGTAAGGATTTAATTTTATTCACATAGAAAAATGGGTGATGCAGAGAACGGAAAGTTATTATTTAAAAAATTTTGTACAATGTGTCATACGTTTGAAAAAGATGGCAAACATAAATTAGGTCCTAATCTATTTGGAATCGTTGGCAAAACATGTGGCAGTACGTATATAATTACAATAACAACAACACAACAACAACAACAACAACATCAACAACATCAACAACAACAACAACAACAACAACAACAACTGTTCTACATTAATTAATATAATATTATACGATTTATTTTTTATAGAATAGAAAATCATATAATAATATTAATATATAATATATAATTATATATTAATATAATAATTTAATAATTAATATAATAATTTATATTAATTTATATTTATATTATTTTATTATTATATTATATATATATTTTTTTATTTATATTTTAATAATAATAATTATTATATATAAATTTATATAAATATAATTTCATATAAATATAAAATATTACATAATAATAAAATATAATTAATATAATTAATTTTAATTATAATAATTATATTTTAATTCATCATAACCATATATCGTAATTTATTATTATTTTTTCTTCTTAATAATGTCGGTAATTAATTTTGTTCATAGCTACGTCCGGATTCGCATACACGGAATCTATGAAAAGGAAAGCATGCACGTGGGATGAAAATACATTAGACACGTATTTGGAATTTCCCAGAAAATTTATTCCAGGCACCAAAATGGTATTCGTTGGTATTAGAAAAAGCGAAGATCGCAAAGATATAATAGAATTTTTAAAAACGTTGAAATAAACCCGATAGTGCAGAAAAAAAATATTCGTTTGAATTATTACGCGTATTTATAACAAATAATTGACGATATTGTATTACCACAAACTTGTTCAATATTAATTGGTATACCTGAATATCTGGATTAACCCCTAAGATGCAAAGTATGAAACTTGAAGCTGCTGCTGTAGTATCGTGACCCTGAAAATAAAAAAAGAAAAAAAAGATTAATTTACATAAATTTATCAATCATATGTTAATATGTGTTTTCTTTTTTTCTTTTTTTAATTAAAATAAATTTTACCTCAAACATTATGGTGTCAACTTCTTCTTTAATTTCTTCATCGGTCAAATTCGTACCATTTTTGGCAAGTTCCAACATGTGTTCTAAGAATGCCGAACGTTTTTTCAATCCAATATCATTCTCATCAATTTCATCGAGATCATCCTTGACGTAATGTAAATTAGTATATTTTTTTTCCGGTTTATCGTTAGTGTTCTTAACGTTTTCAGATTTATTCGTTGATTCTACGACGTTAGAATTCAACGTTTCTAATTTTTTCTCTTTTATTATTCGCGATGTCAAACTGTGAGCAGTGTTGACAAGTTTTTCTTGTTCCATTCCATATTTCGTCCATTTGAAATATTTGTCAAATCTTAAGAATATACTATATTGTCTTATATGAATGATATTGCACATTCTGTATTAAAAAAATCAAAAGAAAAATTGTTCAAATTAAAATGATGAAAATAAACAACAGCAACAACAAAAAATATGATATTTTCGTAATAATCAAAATATATGTATATATATGTACTTCATAACGGCCTTAGCATAATCAAAGCTCATTTTTTCTTTATTTTTTCCTCTAACACCCATAGCAGTTTCCACCAATATGTCGACAGTTATCGTTGACAAATAATCGTGACAATCAAATTCCTTTCCAATTTGATTCTTCAATCTTTTAACCAAAGTCAAACTATTCTCGTAAAACAACGGTACGAATGATTTAAGTATACTCATATGAAATGAAGGTGCTATAAATTTTCTATGAGAATACCACTTCTGTCCGTTGCTAATTAATAAACCATCACCTAACCAGGGTTTAAAGAATCTACAAAATAAATATATTTTTTTTTTTATATAGAATTTGATTATATAAGTTTTTTTTTATCATTTTAATATGTAAAAAAAAATATTTTTATATTTTAAAATAAAATTAGAAATATTTTCAACGATATTTTAAAGATTAGATAACTGATTTAAAATTACTTATTATTATTTATAACTACGAATGAATGAATAATTTAGTATATGATTAAAAATGGATTAACATTCGCTATTGTAACCTGTACTCCGGTGATTTCGTTATGTGAACATGACTGCTAAGAACTATTTCAACGTCACGTGGATCCGTGAGAAATACTACTAATTCCTTTCCTACAAAAGCACGAGCAACGGGTCCGTAAATATCATATGCAAGTATTTTGGATAGTATATCTCTAGGATGAATATTTAATGCTAATAAAAGATTTCCAAAAAATGGAACAGTTCGTGGTCCTAAAGAAAAAAATTATTATATAAATTATTGTAAAATTAAATATAATATCAAATATATTTTCATTTGTAATAATACGACTATTCAAAACTATTAACATTTAATTATTAATTCATTACTATTTCATTATTTTCAAAATATATGTTATAGTAATCAAATTATTGTGTTTGGATTGAAATTAAAAATAATTCAAGATATAAAAAAATATCTTATTTGTAATAGTACGATTATTCAACGTTATACTATTTAATTATTTTAAAAATATATATTAAATATAATAAAATTATTATATACGAATTCAAATTAAAAATAATTGAACGATTTAAACAAATTATAGAAATATATAATATAATATCATATAATATAAAGTATTTTTATTATTTATCATTATACGACTATTAAAATATTATATATATACAGTAGAGCCTGTTTTTGTGCGGTCCTTTTTTATGCGATTTTTTTTATTCGGTCCCTATCTTCCGCACAAAAAAGGCTCTACTGTATTTTTATATATATATAAATAATTAATGTAATAAGATTATTGTGTTCGGATTGAAATGAAAAATAATTGAACGATTTAATCGTTAAAGATAAATTTCAACAAAATATATTTGCGCTTTTTTTTAATTAAAATTATTTTATTATTATTTACGTATTGTTAAATAAAACAATATATATATATTACCTGGTAATTTTCTTCCATATCTAACTGTTCTAGATGATTCCATATAGAAATAAATAGCAGTTAAAACTATTGTTAATATTATCAACGAATAAAATCCCGTAGATGATACAAATGACGAGGTAACTGAAGTTGTTTCCATTTTTTAATTTTTTTTTTTTAACCAAATTTTGTATATTTCTTCCAAACGAAATATTTGAATAATCTAAAACACTTAAAAGAAAAAAAAGAAAAGAAATTACGTGAACGGAACACACTATTCACTGTTATATAATTAATAATTGTATTACGTTTATTATTGATATAAAAAACTTGTAGATAATTTTGTTTAAACAACTTTTCGTCAAAAGGACGACGAAAAAGAAAAAATCCAATGGTTAATTATTTCTTTTCAATGTCGTTTGTCTTTTTATCGCGATCGAACAACAACGTCGAATTAAACTCACCGAACAAGCACTTAATAATGACTAGCTTTATTCGCGTCAGATATTTTATAAACTTAGGAAATAACGGCAAAATTCATTATTGTGTAAATTATAGTCTGAACTTAAACCTTTTCCGTCAATGGATTACATTTTTAAAACGACGTAATGGAATATCTTTTTTCGTCATACCACAATATGTTACTTTGAATATTCATTGTTATTTCTTTTTCTTTTTTATGTTTTGTTTTTATTTCAAGCCTATCTATTATTCATTTGGTTTTCTAATCTAAAGTAATTATTAGAATTTAACGTTAATTATTTAATTATTGTCTCACCGATTTAATTATTTATTATAATTGTTTTAAGTATGTTTATAAAAATATATGTGTATATATAATAATAATTTTGTAATAATGTAATAATTTTATTGTAATAATTTTAACTTGTTACGTAGTTAAAATAAATTTAATATTTATTTATTATTATATAAATAATATTAATTTATTGTTTTATATTATATTATTTTAATATTTAGATAATAAATATTTTTATTAATAAATTATGTAATATATATTATAAATAAATATATAAAATTGTATTATATAAATATATATTAAGTGCGGTAATTTTAATTTGTTATCTTTTCAAAATAAATATAATATTTATTTATTATTATATAAATAATATTAATTTATAATCATTAAGTATACGTAATATTAATCGAAATATTTTTAATTATATTCGAAAACTTTGCTGCATCATTTTGTAAATAATCGTTGAAATTAATGTCAACATTCTAATGCTATAGAATTAATTACAAATGTTATGACCTTCCTCGTTGGAATATTTGTTATTCAAAAGAGTCAAGAAAAACGTATTAAAACATATAATTGATTTTTGAATTATCGAAGCATACAATAATATATTTCAGGAAATGATGTAAGCAAGGTAAACCACCCCGTTCCCTGTGTTCATAGAACGCGTGTGTCAGAAAATAACCCTTCGAGTGGTAATGAAAAAACAACATGGAAGACGAAAAATAGGGAGGGACGAAAAGATAATACGCAATGAACGGAACGAAGATAGTAAAAATAAAAAAAAAAAATAAAAGAATTTCCTTTTCGTTCCCTTTCGTGATAGGGCAAGAGCAATTTCACGAAATTATGGAATTATCGATGGTCACCCTTTATTACTACCGGTGGTTAGTTGCTACTATACTCGTTTCCGGTTTAACATGATTATTCATCAAGAGAAAAAATACAAAAATAATAAGAGTATAAATTTACAAGGATGGGGGGTGGGGTGGGGGGGGGGAGGACATATTTTGTTATCATCGTTTAAAGGATAAACATCAAATTTTTGTTATTTGGCAAGTGGATTTAATTTGTACGTATTACTACACTCGTACATTTATTTTTCCTTTTTTCCTTTTTTCCTTTTTTCTTTTTTCTTTTTTCTTTTTCCTTTTTTCTTCTTCTATTTTTTGCAAATAAAATTAGAAAAAAATGCTATTAATAAATAACCTCGATTGACTTTGTTAAATGCAAACTCGACTGTTGAATATCATTCTCAGAGTATTTTAAATTATGCAAATTAAAATTGAAACAAAAAAGTGAGTGAGATAGAACAAAGAAATAAAAAGAACGTTGAACTATTATTAAAAAAAAAAAAGAAAAAATTAACGTAATTTGTAATTTCACCTTAACCAATACCGTTGTTTATTTATTAGAGAGATTTATTTGGAAAATCTTAAAGGAAGGTGTGTGTGTGTTTTTTTTCTTTGTTGCAAATAAATTCGCTTAGAGATAATATTTGTATAAATAATTAAGATGTATTTTAAATATTTTATAAAAAATATCAAGTACAAAGAATGTGTTTGTGTGTGTTCCCCCCCCCTCCTTTCACTTATATATTATGAAACAGCTTATCATTAAATCTTAAAATAAGGCACTTGTATTTACAGGTCATCTGGTATTCTTTTTTTTTTTTTAATTAATGTCAAACGATATGATTTTTGAACAATGCTCATTGTAATTTGTACAAAACATTTGTGCCTATAATTATGAAAGTGATCTAAGACAAAATTAAAAAAAAAATGAATTTATTAGTTATTACGCACCACATTATTTTAAACTAAATAAATTCAATATAATTTTCACGATATTGTCAAAAATGAATCGTTAAATAATGTTTATTTTTTCAATATTACATAGAATTCATATAATGTTCAAATAGAAATCCTTAAATATCTCGAAACAAGAGATACATGATTTAGACCACTTTCATAATTATGGGCACATTTGTTTATCGTATATTTAAAATGTTCCATGAAGTATTTTTTTTTCTACTATATATAATTAGACTTTGGATGTTTATACAAATGTATAATTTTATAAAAAAAAAAAAAAAATAAAAAAGCAGATAACAAAACACAAATACTTTTTATAATCAAATTGTATTAAGAATATATTTTTATTTTTTATTTTGCATTTTATACTTTGAATATATTTCACATGTATCGAATAGTAAAGTTAAATTAGTTCGATGCTATTGAAAAAATTGTACGATTTTATTAAAGTGTTAGTTTTTTTTTTTTTTTTTTTTTTTAAATCAAATGATACCACAGGCAGGAAAAAAAACCAGTATTGAAATACATTGCAAATGAAATTTAAAGGAAAATTTTGTTATTTACTCAGAACAATGAAATCATATTTTATTATACTTTGAAACAATAAAAGAAATTAATTATGCAGTTCAGCCATATGTTATCGAATGGCATGATTTATCCACAATAATTATTAAGTAAAAGGCAAAGTTTTTTTCTTTTATTTACAACATGTAAAAATGTAGCACCGATTTTATAACAAAGGAATTAAAAAAATTGTATTTATATTATACATCGATATCTCGTGCCAATTACGATAGATCGTTTGCATTCATAATTGGCACGAAATTATTTGACGAAGAAATTTAAATCATCTTTAAATTATTAAATCAATGAAGAAGAAAATATTTGTGAAAAGTATTTCATTTCGTATTAAAATCCCAAAAATTTCAATACGAAATTAAATACTAATATCAAATATTTTAATTATGTCATTATCAAATATTTCTTCTTTTCATCAGAATTGATTTTAATTGGATGGTGGTGGTGGTGGTGGTGGGTAAGTTTAAGTTTCATTATTTTATACTGATTAAAGTAAAAAATAAGTAAATGAATTTTTTTTTTCTATGCACAAATTTCACATGTTTCTAATATATTTATAATGTATAAACATCCGTAGTCTATATATATAATATATTTATCGTTTTATATGTATTAGGTATAATAATTAATTCAGTGCTCTAATTGCATTTTTTTTTATCAAAACAATCGACAATTGTCCAAAAGATGAATCGAACTTTATCAAAAATATACTGATAATTATTTCTAAAAATATATATTATATACTTTTATTATATATATTATATATGTTTATTATATATATAATAAACATTATAAATAAATATTAAAATTGAATAAATAATTGAATTAATTGTTATACCTGATACATATTAAAACATTGTACATTAGAATCGATGGACAACGTAATAATATAATTATTTAATATAAATATAAAATGACACAAATTTGAAATATTTTATTAAATTTTATATAAAATAGGAAGTAGTAAAAAAAATATGAATTATAAACTAACAAGAGAGATTATTTTTCTCTTTACATTTTTAATTAAGGCACTTTTATGTACAAATTCTTTTGATTATTTATTCTCTTCTTTTGATATTTATATCTCGTTTTTTTTGTTTTGTTTTTTAAAAACGTATACATAGAGATGATTTAAACTTTAGTTTCAGTTTTACCATCATTTATGTGAACTCATCCTGCAAATCGTTCATTTCTCACAATATAACAGCATAATAGATTAATAAAAGCAGAATCCCTTTGATGAGAATCTTTTATGTGGTAAACGAAAAACATTTTAATTTACATATATAATAATAATAATAATAATAATAATAATAATAATAATAATAATAATAATAATAATAATTAATAATAATTAATAATAATTAATAATAATAATAATTATTATTATTTACATTGTTCATAAATGTTTTAGGTTTATTTTTTTTTTTGGGATATAATTAAAACATTCTTCACATATTTTATAAATAAACATTTATGCATCTAGTTGCTTCATTTCGTTGCATTTTCTTTTTCAACTTCGTTTATTATTTATTGTTTTACTTTGTGTATATTTTTGCCATATATTTTGGTATTGAACTTTTAATTAAACAAACACTTTTTTGATTCATTTTTTTTACATATATGAGTAGTTCTTTTTCAAACTTTCTTTCATGCATTATTTATAAACCAATATAATGGAATGCATAATTAATTTATCGATTTACGTAACATACAACAATTTATGATTATTCTTGCCTAATACTTTGTATCTTTGTCCATGGTTTTATTTTATTTTATTTGAAGTATATTTCCCATTCTGAATATTTTTTGTAATTTTTGTATTTCTCTTACAACTGTAAAAAAATTTATTATAATTATTATATAAATAATACATTATTTAATATAATATATTATTACTACATAATATACTATTAATAAATAATATATATATATAATATATTATCATATATAATATATTTGTTATATATTATATAATATATAATATATCAATAATATATATATTTGTT